TCTCTCTCCTTCCCGTCTCTTATCCACTCAGTTCCCTTCTTTGGAGGCGAGGAGTATTACTGGCTTCTTCTATGCATTTCTGGAAATATTCTAAGGCAGTGTTTTTGGAAGGGAAGGCTGAAACTTACTAAAATATTAGCACTAACTTGGATAGGCACACTAATGACACTGAAAAATCAGGCTGAGCCATAGGCCAAGAGATGCTAATAGCAGATGAGGAACTATGTATTATAATAATTGCATTATTATAAGATCTCAAGCATAGAATGGATATTGTTGCTTCATTTGGCAACTTAGCAAGATGACAGGTCTTTTTTTTACTATTTTAAAATGGTTTACCATTCCTAGGGAGTCAGGGAATGATGCTTACCTATATACTTCATTTCAAGGAAGCCTATTTACAGGAACAACTTTTTTTTTTTTTTTTTGTAATGCTAAACTGCTTTGATAACTCAAACTTTTTTTCATTATGGAAAGCTTCAGACATGTAATAGTAGAAAGAAAAATAAAATGAACCCCACCTGCAGAGCTCTGCTGGTGTAGTGCCTAAGGCATTTGACTGTTAACCAGAAGGCTGGCAGTTCAAATCCACCAGCCACTTCTCACAAGGAAGATTGGGCAATCTACTTCCGTAGTGATACCACCTCGGAAACCCAAGAAGGGGTCACTATAAGTTGGATCTGACTTTACAGCAGTAAGGTTTTTTTTTAATCTCAGTATGCTCAACTGACAGATAAGGAGAGAGATAAATATTTTATACATATACTTGCACATACCTACTGGGCCATAATCTCATAAAACAAGTCATAATTCTTTAATGTCTAATTCCTAGTTCATACCCAGATATCCCTAATTGTCTCAGACATGTCTTTTTATGGTTGATTTCCAGCAATAACTTTCAAAATGCAATTTTGATGGTTTATAACATCATTAGGGCTGATAAGAAAACAAGTTAATCCTGACATGTAGAATTAAACATATTGATTGAAGAATGAATATAAAGCAGCTACCAAAGCCAAATAGCAATTCTAAAAAGAAATCATTTTTAGAGTGTAAAAAAAAAAAAAAAGGAAAAGATTTCTATACCATTTACACACATCAGTGGAGCCTGCAATACATAGAGAGAGACTGTGACTGCTCTTACCTAGTTAGGAGCTCTGGTGGCATAGTGCCTAAGGCACTTTGACTGCTAACCAGAAGGCTGGCAGTTCAAACCCATCAGCCACTCCTCTGAAGGAAGGTTGGGCGTTCTACTTCCGTAGTGATACTGCCTCGGAAGCTCAAGGAGGGGTCGCTATGAGTCAGATCCGACTCAACAGCAGTGAGTTTGTTTTTTTTTTTTTTTTTTTTGAGTCTTACCTAGTTGTCTGTACTTACTTTCTCATAGTTAATAGCGCAACTATTTGTGTTAGTTTTTTCTGCTTTTAGATTGTGCAAATGAAGTATTTAAAGGACAGAAATTTGGAGTACATTTCCTAAGAATGAAGGAACTGTCTGAAATATTTGATAACTCATCCTGTTGCTGCTGTTCCTGCTATAATATGTGGCCTGTCTTCACAGTCTGGCAGTTAAATTCTCTAGTTCCTCGGGGCAGTGCAGAACATGGAGCTTGAGGGGGAAGGAGAATGGCAAATGTAGGAAGAGAGGAAATGAGAGAGCAGAAAGTGAATTTATTTGCCCTCTGTTTTCACAGCTATTCTTCTATGCCATTTAACGAGAACCTTCTCTTCCTGCAGTATACAAGTCCCCGGAGTACGAGTCCCTTGGATTTGAGCTCACCGTGGAAAGACTGGTTTCTATTGGCTACCCCCAGGAGCTGCTTAGCTTTGCTTATGATTCTACATTTCCTACCAGGTAATTTTTGAAGATATTTTTGGATTAAGGTTTCTCCCACTACTCCTAAAATTAATCATTCCAAATTCATCCTTGATTCCCCTCCTCCTCAAAAAATCCAAAGGTTGTTTGTTTGTTTCTTGGTTGATGTTGAGTCTAAAATAACCATGAAATGTTTATAGACCCCATATCTTTTGTGTTTTTGAATTTAACTTAGTTTATTGCTATTAAAGGAGCTCTGGTAACACAGTGGTTAAAGCACTCGGCCACCAGCTGAAAAGCAGTGGTTCGAATCCACCAGCTGCTCCATGGGAGAAATTTGGGGCATCTCCTTCCATAAAGATCTGTAGCCTTGGAAACCCTATGGGGCAGTTCTACTCTGTCCCATAGGGTTGCTATGAGCCAGTATGAACACGACAGCATTTTTTTAAATGGCTACTGAGAAGACCAATTTATGTGGGAAGAAAAGGGATCATTAAAACTGATGAGCAGTAATCACAGTGGGTCCTGCCTTTGGCTATTGGAGAGCAGTTACTTATTTTGCTAATACACTTAACTTGCTCATACACTTAGCCTTCTTGGCAGTTTGCATTTTTGGATTTGATTGGGAAGATTCAAGATTAAGATGATGCTTATTTTAGAAACCATCAAATATAACATACTATGTATTTGCATACATAATAGAAGGAATTATAAACCTGTTAAATTGTCCCAGGAAATTTTTTTAAAAAAATGTTTCTGAATGGTACCAACTATATTAAGAGAAATTATAGTTTACACCTTATTTGATTAAGGTCTCATTCCTTACAGGAAACAGGTACTGGACGGAGTAAATCTTTTACATTTGCTTTGGGATTAGTTTTCAAGATTTTATTCACATACTTTAGCCTCTAAGGATATATTGTTTTGAGACACACTTGAATTGCTATAAAGTTTGAACTAGATAAGGTTGGTTTGTGGTGATGGAGTAGTAAGTACTTTATGAAGTTACTCCCACTATTAATTTGCTTTATCAGTGATTTCTTCATTTTCATATAGGGGACTTGTTTTTGACACACTGTATGGAAATCTTTTGAAAGTTGACGCCTATGGAAACCTTTTGGTCTGTGCACATGGATTTAACTTCATAAGGGGGTGAGTACAAAGAACCTGTAGCCTTTTCCTAATGTTTTTATAGTCAGTATGAAGATGACATTATTTTCTCTCCTAGTTGTAGCATACTTCCCTGCTCCCTCCATCATTAATCAGCATGTCCTTTACATAAGAATACTTAACAGTTAGTTACTAGGCAGCTAGAACCAAAACTAAAATGACTTATAAATATGGTTAGCAGCCTTCTAATCACGCAGCATCCAACAGAGCTAATCCTGAAACTTGCCAATAAAGATCTGTAGTAGCCTTGATTTATTTGAAATTCTAAGACTTTTATTTTCTCCTTTTTAATACAGTTCTCAGGTAGCTGCCCAAAAGAGGTATGTACATAAAAGTGCTTTGTGAAATTTAAAACTACAGCAATTTAAATGACTAAGGGATTGTTAGCAGCTAATAAACTACTTTTTATATTCTCATGAACAACTTCAAATATTTGATTATGTGGTTAAATTTTATTTCAAAACATAAAAGGTTAAAAATGAATGCAGGATAATAATATTTAAAACAAATAAGGATAAGCTTTATTTTCACATCAGAGTATTCCCACTATTGTTAATTAATTTGAATTTTTCCACACTATGAACAGCAGATAAAATTTAGTATCTACCGTGTTGTTTTGTGAAATTTCCTGATTAGTTATTTAAAAGCACAGTACCACAATTGACAATGTCTAAGTTGTTGCTTTATAAATATACATTTTCTCTACTGTTAATCTACATAAGTTACTACTGACACTGTGTTAGGATCAGAATACCAAGTGTTAAAGCCAAAATAGGTTAAGTGTCAGTCTCTTCTGTAACTTTTCCATATATTACTCATTTTCAATGGCAAAGTAGTAAAAACTGTACACTCTACATTGAAATTGTTAACAGAGACAGTATCTTTTTGGTAAATATCTTTTGTGATAAGAGGCACAAACTAATGGAAACTGCACGAGAGCTTCCTTTAAATGTGTGGTCACAGCAATGCCCCCCTTGGAACTGAAGCATTTGATGCAGACCCTTCAGCCGGCATCACAGACCTTACACAGGCTCCCAAGGTGCCTGCACGTACACAGTGGAAACAGTTAAAGTAAACACCTTACCTTGACACAGCTGGGCAGTCCATAGTTAAATCCACCTTTCTTTTCCTCTTCTTTTCATGAGGATTTTGTTTAGGATACATGAATATGAGGAGGCAGAATTTAGTAAAATGACTGCAAGAAGTACTAGTAATGTGCTAGTGCACTAGTACTAGTGCAGAATTATCACTTAGAATTCAGATCCCAAAGATGAACCAAGGTTCTATTTTTTAATGTCTGAAGAGAGATTTTTGTGTTATGTTGGGGCTAGGAATATGTCAGGTAGGCAGAGAAGAGAAGCAGTTCTATAAATTAGCACTGTAATCAAATTTATTAAGATCCACAGTTGTCCCTTCCACCTAGATAAACCAATAAAGTTTCCAAATAGTTCCTTTGAAAATACATGTTTTAAAAGTGTCATTTATGATAACGAAAACACAACATACCCAAATCTTTAGGATACAGCAAAAGCGTGATCAGAGGGCAGTTTATAACAATAAATACATACATCAAAAAAGAAGAAAGAGCCAAAATCAGCACCTTAACCCAACTCTCACTTTCATCCTCACTGCCGCTGACTCGGATCTGACTCATAGTGACCCCTCCTTGGGTTTCTGAGGAGGTATCTCAATAGAAGTAGATTGCCTAATCTTCCTTCCAAAGAGTGGCTGGTAGGTTTGAACCACCGAGTTTGAACCACCAGCTTTCTGGTTAGCAGTTAAATGCCTTAGGCAGCATGCCACCAGAGCTCTTAACCCAGCATCTCCAACAATTAGAAAAAGTACAGCAAAAAACCCTGCAGTCACCAGAAGAAAAGAAAAGATAAAGATTCGAACAGAAATAAATAAAACAGAAAATAGAGAGTAGAAAAAATAAACAAGACTAGAAGTTGGTTCTTTGAAAAAGATTAATAAAATTGGCAAACCACTGGCCAGCCTAACAAAGGAAAAGAAGGAGAAGGCGTAACTAACAAGAATGAGAAATGAAATGGGCAGTGGCACGGCAAAACCAACCAAAATAAAAGGATAATATCAGGATACTGTGAAGAACTGCACTCCAACAGATTTGAAAACATAGAAGAAATGGACAGATTTCCAGAAACATACTACTTACCTAAACTGACACAGACTGAGGTAGAAAATTTGAACAGACCCATAACAACAGAAGAAGTTGAACAGGTCGTAAAAAAACTACCAACAAGAAATAGTCCTGGCCTAGACAGTTTTCACTGGAGAATTCTACCAGTCATTCAGAGAAGAGCTGACACCAATCCTACATAAACTATTCCAGAACATAGAAAAGGATGGAATCCTCCCAAATTTATGAAGCAAGCATAACCCTGATACCAAAACCAGGCAAAGATACCACTAAAAAAGGAAAACTTCACACCAATATCCCTCATGAATATAGATGCAAAAATCTGCAACAAAATCCTAGCCAATAGACTCCAACAATGTATCAAAAATAATACATCATGACCAAGGTATGCAAAGATAGTTCAACATTAGAAAAACAATCAGCGTAGTCCATCACAAGTAAAATAAAGCAACAGAGAACCACATGGTCATATCAGTCAATGCAGAAAAGGCATTTATTTGATAAAAGTCCAATACCCATTCCTGATAAAAACTCTCAGCAAAATAGGAATAGAAGGGAAATTCCTCAACACAATAAAGGGCATATATGCAATACCAATAGCCAACATTTTTTTTTTTTTTTTTAAAGAAAAAGTCAGTCATTTATGAGTAAATGAGACTCACTCAGATATCACTTAGCGCCCTGCAGTCTTTAGAGTCAAAGGGAAAAGCCAGTGGAGGAGGAGGGACTGAGGAGTCCAGTGGTCGACAGAGCGCTGTCACCTTCCATGCCTCGCTACATGCCATGGGACGCTGGATTTTGGACAGTGTTAGAGGCTTTTATAGTTAGAACAGGGTAATAATGAGGTCAGATCGTTACTCTCTGGCTCACAGAAAGTTAGCAATAATCTGGGCTATAACTTTTTTTTTCCCCCAACTCCAAGTATAGTGTTCCTTTTTTGATACAGTACCTCCACCTGAATTGATTTTCATGTTAAATACATAATAGCATAATTATTTAAAATTTTCATTTTAAATATATAATAGCACCAGCCACTCCATGGAAGGAAGGGAAGATAGAGCAATCTCCTGCCATAAAGATTTACCACCTTGGAAACCCAGTGAGGGTCACTCTGAGTCGGAATCGACTTGACGGCAGTGAGTTTGGTTTTTTTTTTTTTTAGAAGAGCGTAATCAGGCACTTAAATAAAATGTAATTTCTAACTATACTTATAAGTCACTTTGAGTTCCAACTGCCTACTAAATAACTGTTAAGTATCATAAAAGGAATTACTCTTTAATGATGGAAGGAATAACCAAAAACCCACTGCTTTGGAGTTAATTCTGACTCATGACGAACTTCTAGGACAGAGTAGAATCGCTCCATAGGGTTTCCAAGGCTGTAAATCTTTACGGAAGTGGACTGCCTCATCTTTCTCCCACAGAGTGGCTAATGGGTTCAAACTGCCAACTTTTTAGTTAGCAGCCCAGTGTTTTAATCACTGCACCACCAGAGCTTCTTATGGAGGGGACAGGAAAGTACATTACAGATAAGGAGACAGTGTCATCTTACTGAGCCTGACTGGGAAAAGTGTATCATTATTATTCCCTCTACCTTAATTTTCATTACATAGAACCTTAGATAGCTAGAAGATGAAATACTCCCCAAAGTTAGTCTTTATTAGGAACTCTTACTTCAGAAGAGTGACTAAGACAGGGAGCTACTGTGATTTTATATTCTTAACTGGAATTTGCCTTTGGTAGTTAACAAACACAAGCAGGTCGTTATCCAAGTTACTCCAAGTATAAACTTTACATTTGGTTTCCTTTATTTAGATTCTTAATCTCCATATATTCCTTATGAGAACTGTGTGTTTCTATACTCTGGTCTTTGTTCTTTTTAGTTTCTCTGTAATGTTTGTATAACTCATGATCCTTTTCCTTTTCTTGAATTGTTTTATTTCATTCTCTGAGGTTCTTACTTATCCCTGACAACCTCTGTTCTTCTCACTGGTTCTTTTTCTCCATGGTCCTATTCCTCTTCTCTTCCTTCTCTGCACTCTTAATTGGCCTCATCTACTCTACATTCTTGACTTCATCTATTACCTGTGTGAAAATGATCCCATTTAGCTCTCAAGTTGGAATCTGTTTCTTTATGTACTTGGCTTGTTTTTAATTGTCTGCTTAAAATCTGTTTACTTCAAGCTTAGTGTATGTAAAATGTTGTTGTTGTTGTTGTGTGCAGTTGAGTTGATTCAGACTCAGTGACCAGATAAGACAGAGTAAAACTGCCTCTTAGGATTTCCTCAACTGTAATTTTTACAGGAGCAGATCACTAGATCTTTTGTCCTGTAGAGCTACGGTGGATTTGAACTGCTAATCTTCTGGTTAGCAGACAGTGACTTAACCGTTGTGCCACTAGAGCTACTTGTATGCAAAATAGATCTCCTCTTGTCCTTGCTTCTTACCAGTTTTCATATTTCTGTGAATGGTTTCACCAATCCCTTAGAGACACATAGGGTGAGCTGGGAGTTCTATTCTGATCTCTCTGAGCTCTTTCATGTGGTGGGTCACTTGGCAGCTGATCTAGAATGCCCCGACCTAGCTCACATGTCTAACAGTTGGCAGGCTGTTGGCTGCAGTCTTAGGGTTTTAAGTGCAGTGAGAGAGGGCAGGGCCCGATACACAGATGTTTTCCAGGTGTCTGCCTGGTTCACATTCACTGTTGTCCAAGCCTAGAGTCAAAGGGTGGAGGGAAAATAGGCTCCACCTCTTGATGGAAGGGGCTGCCAGGTCACATTGCAAAGGGATGGGAATCATTTGTGGCTGTTTTTGTAACATAGCACATTTTCTTTTTCTGGTTTATCCTAAAACCAGCTACTAATTTTTTCACAACTTGGCTTTGATGATTTTAAGTCTCTGCTTAAAAACTGTCAGTGTTGCCCCGAATGCAGTATAGGAACAATAGGATGATCACTCTTAACCCATCGTTCTCTCTTCATTTTTCTCCATCCAGTTTCTCTGGTCAAGTTGGACCTGAACTGATCACCTTTCCTTTCAGGCCCAGCCCATGTGACACATTTTCATCAGTCCTTCTTAGATTTTTTTCCTCTCCTCACTCTTCACATTCACTCTTCTCTACTCCTTAGGGTGCGTGGTCTCCCTTCCTCATTTTTTTCATAGCTCTTGGGATGTTCCTGTGGTAGTTTGATTTTTTTTTACCTTGTTGTTATTGTTTCTGCATGTGACTCATGTCCCCTGCCAGACTGAGAAGTCATTAAGGGCTGGAACCTGAGCTTACACATCTTCCTAACTATGCACATGTATGACTTGGAGGCCTGCCTTGCACATAACCACTGAAGTATCTGAATGAATTTTTGAATCATGACTATATCCCATGGTTATTGTGTTAATTATTTAAGTATCACTTAATTTTTAAAATTTTCTTTCAGACCAGAAACAAGAGAGCAGTATCCAAATAAATTTATCCAACGGGATGACACGGAGAGATTTTACATTCTGAATACACTTTTCAACCTGCCAGGTAGACTCACTCTGTGCTTACATATGCTGATGCTTTCCATTCTTTTCCTGACTATCTTTGCTCAAGGGAGATAATTAAATAAGTTGGCATTAGTTTACTTAAAACTTATGAATATCTATTCTTCATTTTTCAGAGACCTACCTGTTGGCCTGCCTAGTAGATTTTTTTACTAATTGTCCCAGGTATACCAGGTATGTGTATACTATAATTTTCTTTTTCCAATTGATTTTTTAATGAATGTACAGGGTTTTAGAGAACTGGCCATTGTAGGTCTTTTCTGCTTTTCTGAAGTGAATTTAGTGCTAGTGAGAGATGCCACATTGCCAGCCTGAGAGATGGGACAGCACCAGCAGCTCCATGCAGGCTCTCATCTCCCACACGGCCCCTCTCCTTGCCAGTGTGCTGCAGCCATGTTTGGAAGGGACCACTTCTGATTGGCTTCTCCTGGGAATGAAGACGCCAGCAGAGGTGCTAATTGTGACAACTGAGTGGGAGGTTTGTGTGATGATTATCTGTCTAAGCAGAATTACACTAAAACCCCCCAACTCATTTCACAGCAGCTACCCAGGAGCCATTCAGGGATGGTGATTAGTTTCATTACCAGGCCCAAGAACACCTGATCGAGGAATAAATGCAGTTTCTTTTCCCTGAAGTAAAAATTTGCCAACGTCTTAAACTGGTGGTTTTCTTATTTTGGTGCAACTTGTATATAGCATGGCTGGAAGTTCAGCCATGTAAGGCAGAGCTTGCTAACTTCTTACCCTTGTCAGGCCATAGCCACTTCAAGGCACTAAATTTGGTGGAGAGCTGAGTCACTAAGCTGAATAGAAAATGGGCAATACCTTTGTAGTAGGGACAATGTCAGAAAGTCAGGGTAGGGAAAACCTAAATTACCAGTTTTATTTTTAAATGTTTCTTGGATGGGAATCTAGTTTTTTAAAATGAAGAATTAAAGAACCTGATATATTAGGAACTTTGATCTTTTAGCTTTTATTCAATGCATTCTTCTCTCACTTTGTATTTGTTCAAAATTACTGTATTCCATAGACCACTACAGCCATTTCTGGCAGTCAGAAATGGATTTTTCAGTAGGGAGTAATTATTTTCCTAATGAGGCACAGCCATCACCTGTGTGGTATGGAACGTTTGGGTCCCCTGGGCAGTTTTGGATACTCATTTTATTGATCGTCTTGTGGATCCCCTATCGTGTCCCTTTCCTCTTTCTGCAGCTGTGAAACAGGATTTAAAGATGGGGATCTCTTCATGTCCTACCGGAGTATGTTCCAAGATGTAAGAGACGCTGTGGATTGGGTTCATTACAAGGTAAGTAGAGGCTACTTTTTCACCTGTCTTCTATCTGGCATGTGTTTTATGGTCTGACGTTAACTTTCCCAGTGCAGAAGATCAGAATTTTTCCTGTTTTTTTTTTTTTTTTCTTTTAAAAAAAGGATTTGCCCCCTAGTGATAGGTCTCTAGAATACATTTGTTCCTGTCTTCGGCCATCCAACTTTAGAGGTGATGCTTCTCCTTTCAGATATCAGTTTGGTTTGCAGTGCCCAGACTTACGTACAAGAGATTTTAGTGTAGATCATTGTAATTACCATGTCCCTTGTGGAATGGTAATGGTTCATTTGTTTTGTCCAAGAACCTCACCCTAACTAATAACATACACTGATATGAAAACCCATTGGGGGTCACTATGAGTTGACATTGACTCAAGGCAGTGGGTCTCTTTTTTTTTTGGTTTTGGTTGATACTAAAATTACATTTAATAATTTACATTTATTAATAAACTATATTAAATATGAAATGCCTTTTGATTTCTAGTTTAAAATAGAAGCAGTTTTATAGTTTGAAGACCAGTTTCATTGAAGACCAGTGTGGAGGCAGAGTTGCAGCAAATCACACCTGCCATTTTTCCCGGGCCTCCTCTGGTCATTTGCTTTTCTGTTTTGCTAAATGCTTAACACATGCGTTTGGGCCGACAGAATTTTTTTTACAAATTAAATGCTAATAACTGATGTTGTTCTTATTTCCTTTTCTCCTTTTCCCTAGGGCTCCCTCAAGGAAAAGACAGTTGAAAATCTTGAGAAGTATGTAGTCAAAGATGTAAGTAAGAAAGAGGAAAACATCTGCTGATGGCTTATTTCGCTTAGTAGGGAAATGAATGACAAGCCTTCTTATAAAGAATGGCCAAGGGAAGATACTTCTCTGTCTTGACGTAATAAGTGCCTGTTATAATCACTAAGAGTTTTCAGCTAGAGTACTGTTGGTGTTGTGCACTGTCAAGTCGGTTCCGACGTCTAGTGACCCATGGCACAAGGTGGAGGGTTTCCTGGGCTGTAATCTTTATGGGGGCAGACCACAAGCGGCGGTGCTGGTGGGTTTAAACCCCAGACCTTTCTGTTAGCCCCTGAGTGCTTAACCATTGCACTACCAGGGCTCCTTGCCAGAGCTTAAGTCTTTGCATAGTTTTTCCTGTTTGCTCATAGGCAAAAGACCCTGTATTTCGTACCCCTTTTAATTGATTATAATAATAGCAGTTACAGTATATAGTACTAATGTGCATATCACTGTGCTAAGTGATTGACATGCATTATCCCAGTTAATGTTCCTTATACCCTGAGTTAGGAATTATTGTTACCTGTTTTATAGATGAAGAAACTGAGGAATAGGGAGGACTAAATAACTTGTCAAAGGTTTGCACAGTTAGTAAGTAGTAAACTTAGGATTCATGTCCAAATCTAACCCAAATCATAACCACTCTACTAGATCATCTCAAAAATGATATGGTACATGTGTGTAGTGGTTATTTAAAATACCTTTAACATAGTAACAGAAAACTTAAAGGAAAACTTTAAAACATCTTTAAGACAGTAGAAAAGCTGGTAAAATCTGAAAAAAAAAAAAAACCTAGTTAATAGTAGTGTACCTATGTTAATTTCTTGGTTTTGATCATTGTAATGTAGTCATGTAAGATGCTAATGTTAGGGGAAGCTTGATGAAGGGCCTATGGGAACTCTGTATACTATTTTCACAACTTTTCTGTAAGTCTAACATTATTTCAAAATAAAAAGTAAAACACACACACACACACATCCCAGAAACAAGATACCTCTTCCTTTTTCTACAGAGTAAAAGTAGCAAAACAAAACAAAACAAAAACCCACTGCCATTGAGTCGATTCCAACTCTTAGCAACCCTATAGGACAGGGTAGAAATGCCTGATAGGGTTTCCCAGGCTGTAAATGTTTGCAGAAGATTGTCTCATTGTTCTTTCATGGGTGGCTGATGGGTTTGAACCGCCAACCTTAATGCTTAACCTGCCTTAACCACTGTGCCACTAGAGCTCCTTAAAAGTAGCAGTACACAGTATTTTCTCAGAGTATTTGTTTGGTAAAGGTTTTCTGCTGTTTTCAGTCTTTGTACCTCCTGTCTGCCCCTACCCCTCAATCCCATTGTTTAAGAAAAAGCATTAAGCAGGGAGGACTCCTGGAGAATTTGAGTGAGTTTAACCAAATTCACCCTGTTTATTGTAAGAGAACAAGAAAGTGTGTTTCTTTCCAGGCATGTCAAGGGTTAGAATCTCCTCATTTGGTGCAGTGGGTAAGGCATTTGGCTGCTAACCAAAAAAAGGTCGGTGGTTCGAACCCACCAGCCACTCCAAGGAAGAAAGATGAGGCAGTCTGCTTCCATAAAGATTTATAGCCTTGGAAACCCAGTGGGGGCTGCTGTGAATTGGAATCCACTCAGTGGCAGTGAGTTTGGTTTTTGGTGGTACCCAGGTAGGTCTGGGCATTTCTGGGTTGTAATCCTACACATCATTTCATTCTGCGAGGCGTTTTATAAGACCAAAACAGACACAGTGAAGCGATCTCAAACTTCCCACAGTCAGCCCTTAGATGTGTGGGATCTGCATTTGCAGATTCAGCCAAGCTCAGATGGAAAATATGGGAGTGGTGGTGCAATTAAATGGTCAAAGCAGTCTTTCAAAGGCTGAGAGCAGAAAGTACTATTTACATAGCACTTTCACTGTATTAGGTATTATAACTACTCTAGAGATGATTTAAAGTATATAGGAGGATGTGTGTAGGTTATATGCAAATGTTGCACCATTTTATATAAGGGACTTGTGCATCTGCGGATTTGAGTATCCGCGAGTGGTCCCGGAACCAATCCCCATGGGTCACGAGGGACAGCTGTTTTGTTTGGTGATGCTTCAAATCAGCTTCTTCTGACCTAACACATCTAACTCACATACTTCAAGAGTTGACAAGGTGATTTAAACACTTTCCTGGATATAATGAGGCTATGTTGTTAACAGCCATATGAGCATTTATATACATAATTTAATGTATCAATCTACATATTGTATACATTGCATATGTTAAGACTTTATTCATGCATAGTTATAATATGGGCTTTTATTATTACTAGTTTATTTATTTATTTTTTAATAATATCGACTTTGAAATGTAAAATTCTAAAACAAACCTGTAAAGGGGATCCCCTGTTCCTGTTTCAGTGGTTTATCTAGCACACACGACTGCTCTAAAGTGTAAACGGAAAAATATGTTTTACTGTTTCTCTTATCATCATACTATGTTTCAGGGGAAACTGCCTCTGCTTCTGAGCCGGATGAAGGAAGTAGGGAAAGTATTTCTTGCCACCAACAGTGACTATAAGTATACGGATGTGAGTGTTGAATATTCATATTTGTCTGTTTATACAGAGGAATTATGTATTTCAGACTTTGGCCTAAAGAACTATGAAGATAATAGGGAGGATAGTAGTTTATTGAGTGAAAGTAGTTTTTTTTGCCCTTTCATTTTTGAAAGCAGAGTGGAAAAAAGCAAAGGGTAAGGTCTATACCAGACTGGGCCTCAAATTTTCCTAAGTACATGTTTTCCCCATTATCTGAAAGTAGAATGTTTCTCTGAAACCGTTCATAAGCCAAAATGGCATAAAGCGAAGAAACAGTTACCATTAATTTTTTGAACGTTCCCAGACCCCAAAAATAATCTGCCAAATCATACCAAACACCACCTAAAACCTAAAATACCACTAACATAAAGTGTTCACAGACACAGTTCAAAACTCTGGCAGCTGGATGCCAAGTATAGTTTCCAGGGAAGGAGCTTACTGCTTGGGATGTAAGCTGCCTCTTTAAATAGCTTGTTGCAAAACAGATGCCGAATGCTAGTTTCACTCTTTGCCTTTTTTCTTAAAAGCTAAAATCCTCTTCATATTTCTTTCAGTTCACAAAAACAGGTAGTGGAGGTCTTTTGTGAAAGTGAATGGCATAAAGCAAGTTTCTGAAAGCAGAAGATTGCCTGCATTTGTAGAACCTTCTTTTTTTTGACTACAGCGTTTTCCCCGATTACAGTTAGCGCTTTGAAAATTTGGGTTATTTAAAACATTTGTGCTGACTAAAATGGCTTCTGTGTCTCTGTGGACCATCATTTATTTAAACCACAGAAATCATTGTATTGAGTTTGCCCACACCTTTTACTGCATCTGGGTACATACCCTCCCCACTCTTGGGACCTCTGAAACAGTAGATGGTGCAAAGATATTTTGACTCTTAGCCATCAAAATTTACCACTTCATTTTTCTGCCACGATTGAAGTGTACTAATTGAATTCTGTTTTGTTTTTGAACATTTTCTTGTGATTTGGGTGAAAGTTTACAGAGAAAATTAGTTTCCCATTCAGTTTATACACATTTTGCTTTGTGACATTAGTTGCAATTCCCTCAGTGTAACAGCACTTCCCACCTCCTCCTTGGGTTCCCCATTTCCATTTGACCATTTTTCCTGCCCCTTTCTGCCTTCTGAACTTTGTTTTTCGGGCAAATGCTGCCATTTTGGTCTCATACGGTTGATTGTTCTGCAGAACACATTCTTCACAGGTGTTTTTGTTCACTTTGTAGCCCCATTGTTTGGTTGAAAGATGATTCCCCAGGGGTGCGTGTAGTTCCCGTTTTGAAGGGTGTCTAAGGGTCTTGGTCTCAAGGGTTCCACCAATCACTACCAGACCATTAAGTCTGGTGTTTTATATGATTTTGAATATTTTTCTGCGTTTTCTCCCACTCTGTCCAGGACCTTTTGTTGTGGTCCCAGTCATAGTGGTTGGTAGTGGTAGCCGGGCACCATCTGGTTCTTCTGGTCTCAGGCTGGTGGAGAATGTGATTCATGTGGCCCAGTAACCCTTTGGCCTAATGGTTTCTTTAGGTCTTTGATTTCTTCACTCTTGTTTGCTCTAGATGAGAAGAGACCAATAGTTGTATCTTAGATGGTAGCTCGCAAGCTTTTAAGACCTTAGTCGTTACTCACCAAAGCAGGATATAGAACATTGTCTTTATGGACTGTATTGTGCCAGTTGATATATATGTCCCTGAAGACTATGGTCCTAAGCCCTCAAGCCCAATGACGAGTCCATCAAAGTGTTTGGTAATGGATAAGAAGTGTGCATAACTTTGCTTCCTGAATGCTCTACTGTATACCTGGATATATTTGCAGCATATACAAATAAATATATATATCTGTCCTCAAACCTGTATATGCTCATGGGTATACTCCAGTACACTGTTCCACACCTGTTCATGTTACACATCTGCCTATATGTACACTCATAAATTATTGTTATTACTGTTACTGCAAGATTATGTGTGTGTTGCAGTATTTTCCTTTGTTGCCTTTTACTCTTGTGGACCTTCCAGTGTCTTCTTTTGCCTAGGTCACTTTGTACTCATGGTGCATTACCTTTCCTTTCACCCAAGGTAATACATGCTTGCTGGCTAGTTAATGATTTTCCCTCCCTCCCCTTCCCATCCCTGGTAACCATGAAAAAGATTGTTTCTTTCTGTGCACAAACTTTTTCTTGACTTTTTATAAAGTGGTCTCATACAATATTCGTCCTTTTGTGATTGACTTATTTCACTCAGCATAATATCCTCCAGGTTCACCCATGTTGTGAGATGTTTCATGGATTCACTGATCTTCTTTAATGTTGCATAGTATTCCATATTGTGTATGTACCATAGTTTGTTCATTCATGCATTGGTGGGCACGTAGGTTGTTTCCATCTTTTTGCTATTGTTAATAATGCTGTGATAAACATGAGTGTGTATTTTTCTATTCATGCCGTGACTCTTACTTCTCTAGGATAATTACCTAGTAGTGTGATTCCTGGATCATATGGTATCTCTCCCTTTTTAAGGAAGTATCACACCATTTTCCATTTGGTTGTACCATTTTACAGCCCCATCAACAGTGCGTAAGAATTCCAGTCTCTGCACACCCTTGCAAGCATTTGTCTGTCAACATTGCCAGAGTGAGGTGTCACTGTTGTTTTGATTTGCATCTTTTTAATGGCAAATAATCACACACACCTCTCTGTGTACTTGTTGGCTGTCTGAATGTCATCTTTGGTGAAGTGTCTTTTCATGCCCCTTGCCCATTTTTAAATTGGATTGTTTGGCTTTTTGTTGTTGAGGTGTTGGCATTTTCTGTAAACTTTAGAGATTTAGTCCCTTGTCAGGTATGTTGCTGCTAAAAATTGTTTCCCAGTCCATAGATTCTCTTTTAGAAGTCTTTTGATGTGCCTAAGTGTTTAATTTTTAAGAAGTCCTAGTTTATCTTCTGCTGAGCTTTTAGTTGTATATGATGGATTGTGCCATAAATTAGGGCCTTAAGTTTGCCCCTATTTTTTCTTCCATGATCTTTATAATTTCAGGTTTTACATTTAAGTCTTTGATCTGTCTTTAGTTTTTATATATTGTGTGAGGTATGGATAGATTCAACCCTTTAACTTCATCTTACTTTGCTAAGACAGTTATAAGTTTATATTATATACTGATTAGAATCTCAGCCTTCCCCAATCTTCTGTATGTAAAATGTTGATTTAGAAATCTGGTAATTTGGAGTAAATGGTTTTCTAAAACCTGTGGTTGGTTGGCTTGGTGGGTCTGGGAACAGTATTAATAAGGCCAAAGTAATATGTTGTTTCCATGTGAGTCATCAGTTTTCTCCATGCGCTCACCTGAGATGCCCCCTTGCCTCCAAATATGTGCTCAGGCCACTGGGAGAATTGGATAGGGATAAATGGATGAATCTACAAAAACACCTCCTACGTGGGAGTGTGTCTTGCTGAGAATGTCAGAAGCATTTTCTTTTCTTTCTTTTTTGGTATGATGAGGCATTAATTCCTGGCTTCCACTGCTATGATTTCACAAAATTTAGAAGAAACAAGACTGTAGTAAATACTGTATTTTCATAAATATGTGTTTTATGAAAAGCTTGCATATCATTTTATTAGATGCTATGTGTCTTTTGTAGAAGTAATATGTGAACCTTATTTTGCTTTTTTTTTTTCCCTTCCAGAAAATTATGACTTACCTGTTTGATTTCCCACACGGCCCCAAGGTACTCTATGTAACGGTCTATGTAACTTAATAGACCATTACTTTAGTAACGATGAATGCATTTAATCATCCTGGAACATTGAGGGGAAGGAATTGGTCAGCATCCAACCAGAACATGGCCTGTTGCCTAATCTTCATTAACATTAGAAGTAATCCAGGAACTTGTAGAATTTAAAGTCATTAGCAATTTGAATACTTTGTAAACAGAAATAAAAGGGATATTCATGTGGTATTTAGTGGGATGGATAAGAATAATCTTATGCCCAAGAAGTTCTTAGCAGCCTTGTTAAATTTGAAACGGAATTTTCCAAGTTGAGAAAGATACTTGATTAAAAGAAACAGAAAATTTGAGCGAGTTTATTCTCAACAGCTCTAGATTCTGCTTAGTTGGCGTTTACGCCAGGAGAGTGGTTAGCCTGGATACTTAGCTGAGAGCCCTTTGTTCCTGCAGTATGGCCGCTCTCAAATTTAAGCGCTCTACCCACAGACACTCTTACTTGTCTGTTTTGGAGTTTGAGGCCTTGGCTTCTGTGAAGAAGCATCAGTGTTGAGATTGCTGCCGGGGTGCAGTGCTCCTCAGCTTGGTCCTGAAAGGTTCCAGCCATGGCTCCGTCTCAGGCCGGCAGGAACTTTAAAAGGTATAACTCAGTGCTTGCAGTTAGAGCCAAGGGCCGGTACTACTTAGAGCCATCAAGCTGAGAACCGAACCAGTAAAATTTCCTAACGTAGTTCCATGTTAGTTTGTACACTTGTGTCTGATGCTGCCTCTTTCTGCATCTCCCCAGCCCTTTAAGTGTATCTCAGAGCATGAGCACACTTTCTGTCATGTACTAAATCGCTGTGAAATTAGTTACTGTAATTCAGTAGATGATATGATTTAAGATGTAGAGATTATTAGTCATTAATTATTTACAACTTGCCTACTTCCACAAGGATGTGGCTTATAAGAAGACCATCAGTTTTTGATGAAACAGTGAGCTCTTCTGGCAGTGCTCAGTTTCTCCATTCCTTGCAGCTGGTGAGACTAGGTATTATTAGTGCCTTAGGGTAAAGAGTGCTGTGTCAGCCTTTCCCGTCTCTCCCTCCCCAGCCTGGGAGCTCCCACCGACCCTGGCAGTCCTACTTTGACCTGATTTTGGTGGATGCACGGAAACCACTATTTTTTGGAGAAGGCACAGTACTGCGCCAGGTGGATACTGTAAGTCCAGGGGATGATCTGTGTGCTAGCAATGCTGTCCTTCGTATTGTCCTTTCCCTACTCATACTCCCTAAGGAAACAGGTAGTCTTTAAATGAATTAGCCTCAACTTCCTTTGGGAATTTATCTAAGGGTTTTGTTTTTTAACTGAGTTAGCCAAACAAACCACTAAGTCAGAACAATAAGTGCCATTCATTTAGCTGGCTGACTACATGCATTCTGGGTCGAGGCAGTGTTAGAATGATAAGTGTTACCAAGTCCATATTTTCTTCACACAGAAAACTGGCAAGCTGAAGATTGGCACCTACACTGGCCCCTTACAGCATGGCATTGTCTACTCAGGAGGTGAGTCATAGACCTTGTGACTTAGTGTCAGTCCTGGCTCAGACTTCTCAGTTAAAGCTTTGAGAAGTTGTTAGTATGCCCCGATGAATCTGGTCTTCACTAGAGAGATCAGTTTTCTTTCTTACTTTACCTATTTGAGGTGTTTCTCAGTGCCCTGGAATCACTTGAGATGATTTTCAAGGGATTCCAAGAAGGTTTCTCCTGTGGACACATTATGATGGAAACAGTTGAGCAAAACCACCCTGGTGGTAGATCCATGATGAGAAATGGTGGCGATACCTCTGAGGGTTGTATTCACAAAGGCGGAGAAATGGAGTTTTGTCGCTCTTGGATTTGGTGATCAGGAACCCTTGTCAGCACAGTGATGCTGAAGGCCTTCTCTTAGAGGCAATATAAAGAATATTGCAAAAAAAAAAAGATGGATGTTTGTCTTTAGTATATGAGTCCTTCTTCCACTCTGTCCCTCACATGGATTGTAAGAATAAAATTTGTAATCTGCACAGTATTTAATGCTTATGGTTTTAATAAGGAGACATTGCATTATTTCAGGTTCATCTGATACAATCTGTGATCTGTTGGGCGCGAAGGGCAAGGACATTTTATATATTGGAGATCACATTTTTGGGGACATTTTAAAATCAAAGAAGCGGCAAGGATGGCGAACTTTCTTGGTGATCCCAGAACTTGCCCAGGAGCTGCACGTCTGGACTGACAAGAGTTGTAAGGAGCCATTAACTCTTATCTTATAAACATTTTCCATAGCTAGTTTATGTCTAAATGGCCAGCTATGGATCAATCTTTTCATTACTCTGGATGGGATAGGATCAGACATGGTCAAAACGTGGGCCCAGATGTTTGAAGACCTCCTACCTGTTAGAACAGCCACATATTTCACAGAATTCCCAGAATGTGAGAAACATGAGAGGTTCCGTTTAGCCTTCTTGAATCCTTTTGAGGCTAAGTATCGAGTGTTAATGTCCCAAGCATAACTCTGGACCTCCACTTCCCTCTGTAGCCCCTCATTTCCCAGTCACACCTAATGGTCCTGGTCTCTGCTCCCAGCTAGCTATCTTTGATTCTGGGGCAGTGAGGACTCTGAATATTAATCACCTCTTGGTGGTTTTCACTGAGAAAGCAGAACTGCCTGTGTGAACTGAGCTGCACTGTGCACACTGAACGGAGCCATTGATCTAGTAACTGGTGGAGGTGTTTGGGGCACAAGCCGTAGAGAGCGCCGCCCAGTGTGGTGAAAGGCAGACTTGGAAGCTCAGGTTGAATCCTGGTTCCAGCACTTAATCTGCAGGGCCTTGGGCAAATTACCCTGTGTCTCAGTTTTCTCAGATGTAAAATGGGAGATAATAATAGTACCTACCTCATAAAGCTGGTGGGAATTGACTCAGGTAATGTGTGTTTAAAGAAGACAGAAATCACAGCTCTTCTCAACTGAGGCTCCTCTAAACCACAAAACAGAAAAAATTTAAGTGACTTCTCTATTTTCCCAAAAACGGTAGGTGGAAGAGAAGTGTGCTTATTATATCAATGGCTGCAGTGGGGCTTCTTCTCTAGGGGGCCCCGGGGGAGAAAGCTGGACCACATAGAAAGCATGCAATTGATGCTGTCTGTTGTTTGTATGCATCAGTGGGATTTTCTGGTTAGCCTTTCACCACATTTTCAACTTTCTACCTCTGAAGTTTTGGAAATCTAACTGATTTGCTCTGCTGTGTTCTGGACCTGTGACTCTAGGCGAGTGTCCTAATTGTCTTTTCTTTACCTGAACATGGACCTGCTAGCACTTGCCCCACTGACTGCACCTAGGAAGGGCTGGACTGGCACTTTGTGAGCTAGAATCAGCATGAGCTGGGAGAGACACTTGTCACCAGTGGTGTTCGAGGAGGACAGGCAGTTAGTGGCAATGATGGTGCCCGGCTGCTGCTTATCATACCAGGCTCCCAGCAGGGTCTGTGGGTTTTCCTGCAGTTATGAGGAGGAAGTCATTTTATACGCTCATCTCTGGCACCTGAGTGTAGGCTTTACTGTTGGTCCTATCTGCAGCCTTCCCTTCGGCTTCAGGAGCAGCTAAAGACTGTATGCTCCGTACGTGATTTACCTAAAATGTCTCCTTTTCCTTCCAAACCTTAACCAGCACTTTTTGAAGAGCTTCAGAGCTTGGATATTTTCTTGGCTGAACTTTACAAGTAAGTTCCTAATTCTGAAAACTTCTTCTCTAAAAACCTCCTTGTCAGTCACCTAGGCATAAGCCGTATCCTCACTGGAGATTTCATTGGAGTATTTTTCTTTTTTTGGTCTCCAGGCATCTTGACAGCAGCAGCAATGAGCGTCCAGACATTAGTTCCATCCAGAGACGCATTAAGGTATCCAAAGGGGCTTTCAGGGAAAACTTGGACTATTTAAACAATACTCCTATTTCTGATGTTATGCAGGGACTGGCACAGAGCTGGTGCTCAGTAAGTATTTATTGAATGATTTGAGACTCAGTCTTGTGTTTGTTTCAGAAAGTAACTCATGACATGGACATGTGCTATGGCATGATGGGAAGCCTGTTCCGTAGCGGTTCCCGGCAGACCCTCTTTGCCAGTCAGGTGATGCGTTACGCTGACCTCTATGCAGCTTCCTTCATCAATCTGCTCTATTACCCGTTCAGCTACCTCTTCAGAGCTGCCCACGTCTTGGTGAGTTAGTGCAGCCTCAGGCTATGCTTTATAGGAAGGTGCACTCCAGTGCCTGCTCCACACTGGCTCTGTGATATCGCAGGAGGCATTTTGGACCCGTTCCTTCTGGTGTGCAAAGCACGTAGGCAGGTCACATGGTCGCACGGCAGGCGTCTGAGAGACGACGCTCCAGATGGAATGTTAGTGTGCCACTGTACTCCCTGAAATCGGCTCTGTTAAAACTGCACTTGAATGTGGCAAAGACTTTCCTATTTTGTTAGCACAAATTGAGAGAAAGATTGTTAAGCTCTGATACTGATCTATGTTGTAGGTTTTTTTGCTATGAAATAAACACAGTTCTCTCCTGTCCCATTTTATTAGATTTCAGGTTGTAGTAAACCACCTGGGCACCGTTTTGGGCGACAAGAAGGAAGAGGGGGAACCACGCTGGGTAGAGCACCAGGGAGATGCAGGAGCCTTAAGCTGGAGGCTTTCTGGCCCGTTAGGGGCATAACTCCACATGGCCACCTGACAGGAGAGGTGTTAGGATTTGGGAAGAGATTACTCGGCCTGTTTTCTGAGCCTCTGGCTTTTTTCTAGATGCCTCATGAATCAACAGTGGAGCACATACATGTAGACATCAATGAGATGGAGTCTCCCCTGGCCACCCGGAACCGCACATCTGTGGATTTTAAAGACACCGACTACAAGCGGCACCAGTTGACACGGTCGATTAGCGAGATTAAACCTCCCAACCTCTTTCCATTGGCACCCCAGGAAATTACACACTGCCACGATGAAGATGATGATGAGGAGGAGGAAGAGGAAGAATAAAAAAGAAAACCAAAACTAAGCACCCATGAAACTTTCAGCAGGACTCACAGGAGCAAAGGGTGTCCCTGTTTGGGTTCTAGTGGGAGAATGGGGGCTCCATCAAAGGCACATTTGGAAAGCTTCTTAAAACTATGTTAATCAGAGACAGACTTGTTTTAGTTTCGTGTATCCACACTTTTTGCAGATGGCAGATGGTTCATAATTGTAATGAAGAAAGTCAAGTCAGGCTGAACTGCATGCGGGTGGTCCCCATCATGGCCTGTGACACTGTTTCCTTGTCTTTTTACATTATCAGTCCATTGTGTAAGCTGGATACTCAAGTGTGGTTGAAGAGTCTGGGGGTGGAGCAAGGAGGCTGATGGGACTAGATGAGCTGGAAAAGCTGCCATGTTACAGAGTGTGCTGTTAACTCCCAAACCCCTCTTTTTCAGTGATTACACAGTATTGTATATCAGTGGGGAAATACATTGTTTCCGTCATCATATGTAGTCTTCTGTTAAGGTGGTTTCCCTCTCTAAGCCTGTGAGTGTCCTCAGTGACTCTGGTCTAGCTGCTGCCCTGTGTGTGGCTCTGGAGAAGGGTCTCTGCTCGCTTTAGGGCTGGGCTGGTCTAAACTGCAGGGATTCTGTTGTGAGGCCAAAGTCCTCATCCATGTCTACTTTTTTTTTGGTTGATAGCACAAATGCTTGTTATCCAGAAAAGTAATTGTTTTCTCATCTGTGATAAATCTATAGAAGAGTGTAGCTGAAAGACAAAGGAGCAAGCCCCCAAGGAAGGAAAGAACCACCTCTTTCTTGTCTTACAGCATAATGGAGTCAAACCTGTTAGTGGGGGCTGCAGGGTTCTGGCCCACGCTGCCAATTCCAGCTTTCCCTCTCTCCAGAGTTAACTGCTGTGTTTCAAAGTTAAGCAAGAGAAGGTGGGAGGAGGGCTCTGTAGGCCAGACCCTGAAGCAGAGGGCACAATCAGTGTGAGTAAACTCACTTCAGAATTTCAAGTGAAATCAGTTCTTGTTCTAAACAAGAATGAATCTTAGTGGTGTACTTTAGAGTATTACAACTGCCTCACAATACAGTGGACCTTGTTACATTCTGAACAGTGGGGTACACTCTTGCTTTTACCCTTCATATATTTTCTTTCACTCTTATCATTGTTCAGCAGGGGAGGATACTGGTAGACCAGCGGCTCTGGAATTCAATAAAGTGTCATATTTCTACCATTGACTTGAACCCTTCCTACAGCACAGCTGTAACAAGTACTGGTCTCCAGGTGGGTGAGGGTTGGCCTGGTAACATCAATTTAATATCTAGTCTCTTTTCTAAAAAGAAATATACATTCTAAAAAATGCCACATGTGTCCAGATCCCTTTGGGTTAAAAATAAACATGAAAGAATTAATACGATCTGATTAATAGCTGTATTTATGGCACTTTGTAGGCCTCCAGACTTTTTCCCAGAAAGCTTTTGGGCACAGGATTGTGAGGTAAGGAATTTTCCTTTTCTTTAATATCCACTTTATAGATAGGAAGCACAGCTCAGGAACTTAGCCAAGAATGTGTCACCTTGCCACCTTTAACATATATGGCTACAGATGAAGTTATGCCAAGAAACACATGCTCTCACTGGTACTGGGACTATACGCTCCTTTAAAATATCAGGTTAGAAATGCTGTTGCAGGTAGCAGTTAGATGTTGTTCCTGTTTAAACATTTTAGGGAATGTGCTGGTGGCCACCCCGTTACAGTCACCCGCATCTCAGACGAGATGCCCAGGCTGACATAGGCTTCAATTTCCTTACAGCCAAATAATTTCTGCGTGGCTTATTACAACTACAGTTTACTTATTATAATGGTACCTTAACATACTTTCCCTTTTGGAGCGAGAACCAGCATGATTGCTTTGCTTTATTACCCTTTTTTTACTGTCGCCACGCAAGTTTTTCTTCTTAGCCAGACGACTGTGGTGGTGGCGCGCAGACTGAGAAGAGACAAGCACACAGCTGGGATAAGAAAGAATCCCACAGCTGGTCACAGCTTTCTCCAGAACCACAAAGCAGATCTGTAAGGAGCTGGGGTTCCGTAAGAGGCCCAACACCCAGAGCAGAAGGTACTTCTCTGGGTGCTCGTCTCATTAGAAGAACGTGCTGGGTCTGAGAGGTCTGGGGGCAGGTTCTCAGCCAGTGCAGCCATCACCGGGCTTTTATAACATCAACTGTGAGTCTCTCACTTGCTCTCTTGCCAACAGGTAAGGAAGCTTTTCCTTAGATCATGAGGTTTAGATCATGAAAAGACAGATCTGTCATCTGAAAATTTTTTCCTGGGTATTTTGAAAACACCACGTATTTTCAGACTTTTTAGAGTACCAAGCACCCTCTTCATGGTGCTAGACTGAATCTCCACCCTGACAGTAACTAACAGGGGCTCTGGCGCACCTGGCAGGCAGGTGAAGTCCAGCAGAGCCTGGCCCTGGTGTCATCCCTCCGCATGAGGCCCCGCCCAGTACATGCTCAGGGAACACTCTGGTGGGGTTTTTTTTAGGAAAGTTATTTGAAGTCAAGAAAGTTCTGCTTTAGCCTGCTTAAGATTTTCCTACTATATGCATAGCTCTGCTGAGCCCTAAAATAATAAAGCCTGCCCTTCAGTTACCCTTTCTAAATGCTTTCAGGAGAAGGGGTTTTTAATAGAATAACTCAGCGCTACAGATCCTTAAATCATGTAGTGTTGTGTTTAAGAAACCACTTACAAAAGCCATATACAGTTCCATGTCAGATTTAAAAGTACTTTATCCATGTTTAAATATTTCTAAACTAGATTTATTTACTTAAGAAAGATTTTGTCAACAACTTTAAAGGCCTGCAGTTTTTCCAAGGCTGCTGGGGCATTTTCACCACAAATAGCCCGAGACAAACAAGTGCATGCTGAAGTCCGCATCAGGGTAGGAACCCTGCCCACATTCCACGTTATGGAAACTATTTAACCTCTGTTTGATGGTGGGAAAAAATGGTAACTGTGATCCCGCTATTGCCATACAGTTAATGGTTCAGTTCCTTGAGGAGGAATGGACTGTTCTCAACACAGTCACTCAACGCTGATGTTTCTGACGGCATTTTTTGTCAGTGAGTAGGATATACAACTCTCCTTAAAGAGAAGTGTTTCCTCAAATGGAACAATTTAAAATAACAAACAATTTTGGGATGTCCTGAGAAGGAAATCTCTACCATGGAGCTACCCAGGCAGCCTTGGCAGAATCGCGATGCCCTGCTACTCAGCCACAGGGATGCCAGGGCCCTCACAGCAGCCAAAGAGCAGAACCAGGCGACCCCCAGGAGCCCAACTGTCCTGTCGTGCACCTGCCCACAGACAGGCAGCACTTCTTGCTCTTCACTCACTGCTCAGTAGCTAGAAATAGCAAAAGGCTGTCATCTAAAAAGAGAGTGGGTTTATTTATAGAGTGAACAAAACCATTTTCTTTAATCTGTGGTCGTCACACCATTTTCCTGACCTCAGACACAAGTGTCTTCATCCCAAGGCCTCCACAGTTTGATTTGTTCTGATGAAGGCATGTAATTTAAAAAATAAAATATTAAAATATGTACACTTTCATCCCTAAGGAGCTCTGGTAGTGTAGTGCCTAAGGCATTTGACTGCTAACCAGAAGGCTGGTGGTTCAAACCCACAAGCCACTCCTCAGAAGGAAGGTTGAACAATCTACTTTTGTAGTGATACCACCTTGGAAACCCAAGGTGGGGTCATTATGAGTCGGATCTGACTTGACAGCAGTGTGAGTGCGCGTTTTTCCCTAATGAAGAGCTGAGACGTAAAAAAGTACTCCCAGTTGAACAGAGAATACTTCATTCCAAGCTTGCTGGCTTTGTCACTGACAGCTCTAAGGAATCTATCATTTCCCACTTTAAAACAAAATGTGGTCTACTTAGAACACTATGGCCTAGTTCCTTTATGTTTCTTCCCTCAAAATACCTTTGCGCCTTTTTTTTTTTTTTACTCTAGAGTAAGGGTGGGTTAGCTGGATGGCTTCATGGATCAAGTCAATTACAAATGTGTTCCCAGATGCTCTGCTCCCCAAAGCCATGCCTCACAGGGATGTAGACGAGGCCTGAAGAGTCTGGGCCGAGCTAAACCTGCTCACACAGCCCAGAGCCCACGCAGCTGAGTGCACATTTCTTCCCATGAAAGACAGCAACAGTATCACACGTTCCTGAGATACTTGGAAAGAGGATTTGCTGAGCAGACCTCAACACTGAAAAATGTTTATTTATTAAATACCCAGCCTTTTGAGACAGGGTTCTTACCAGAGGTAGTCTCTGACTTGGGGGTATTTTGAAGTAAGGAACTTCATTTTTGGACCCTCTGCCCTCAAGTCAGTAGAATTATTGTAGCAGGAAAGCTGGCTGAGTCTAAAATTCCTGTCACATGCTGGCCTCCTAGCTGATAGCTCCACACTCATGAATACCCTAGGCAAGGAAAGACTTTGACAAAGAAGGCTGGCACCGATCCCCTCAGACCTTACAATGCCCACCAGTGGAGACGGCCTGCCGCCCAAAGGTCACAGAGAAAAGGGCCTACACCATCCGTTTGTCCTGAGATGTCTTGAAAGTAAGAGCACAGATGTGAGGCCCTTGGAGGGAAAATTATGAAACAATTCATACAAAGAAAGCAAAAGAGTTTATTAGCCATCTAATATAATTCAACTTTTTGGCTTTAATAAGGAATCATCTCTTTATTAAATTTAATTACCTTCAAAAAGTATAAAATAAGTTTCCATAAATCAGCTCCAGGCTATAAAAAGTTCATCCCGTTCGTACCAGCCACCAGAGCTCCCACTTTCTCCTTAAGACCCTCTGATCAGTGTCTGTGTCCTCAGAGTTGAGAAGCGGCACCAAGGAACACAATTCATTATGTGAGTTGGAAACCCCAGAGCATCACTATAAAGCTTAGAAATAACACGTGAATGCGCCACAGGGATGGAGAGGGGAGGCTTGGGCAAATCTTGTCCTCAGTGGGAAGAGCTCTGTCCATTTTCCTCGGAGCATTTCCTGATTCAGGCCCAAGACTCATACAGAC